CAAAAACCGGACCGCGGGATTCAAACGTCCTTGGTTCCATTTCCCCGGGCAACCCATGCGGTTACCCTATTTTTGACCACCACAGCCACATGGTTGGAAGGGCGCCAGAGCCAGAGCTGGTGCTCAAAACTTTTTATTTGACAAGGTCACATGGAGTACCATAGCCCACAGTGCCCATAGCCACTCGAACAACATGCCAAATGGGTGTGGCTCAAAATTAAACACGGGGGGTTACGCAGGCTTCCATATTTCCACTTACCAGGGCAACCCATTTTGGAATTCCGGTTCTTTGAGCCACAGCCAAATGCCTCAGAGCGCACCGATTTCGTGAACCGAGAAGGTCCCGGTCCCAGACGTGACGTCCTCCTCAGAGCTTTCGTCCAACAGACCCGGCCAAGCCTCGCGCGGACACTACCCCTTTGGACCGAAGGCCAAGGGACAAGGAGACGACCCGAAAAAGAAACAGACGGAACCTGCACAGGAAGCTCCGGAAGACCAGATTTCCCTTCGGTTTGTTCCTGCGCAGATTCCTTCTGTTTGTTTTGGGAGGGTAGTTCTGGTGAACAATCAGCTGGCATACCCAATGTAGGCTACAGTCAGACCTCTGATTCAGGAGACAAGTGCTGTGTAGATAAGGAGGTAGGTCTTACTGTATGTTGGTATCCCAATAAATACACAGAAAAAATGGATGGCAAGAAGAATGTTACTGCATATCCAAAATGTCATCATTCATAAAGCCGAAAAAGGCATCTCTGGGTAGGGACCTTCAGCACGGGCTCGTTCCCCCCAAACGTGAGCCTTCAATTTGTCCAAAAGCGTGGGACGTAAACATAAGAAACCTGGCCATGTTTGGAGCAATCTCCTGGGGGAAGAAGACCCTTTTGAGGTCAAAATCAAAGCCCATAGCGGACCTGGCACATGCACTGGAAGTCCTCCTCCGGCGCAGTCGCCTCAGAAGCGGCGCCAAAAGGCCCTCAACCCCCGACTGAACTCCGCGTGGAGGTGTGTCTTTTGTTGAGGGTGGCATGTTTTGCCTTGGTTTCAGTGGAAACCAGAAGGAAACCAATCTGTTTGAGGGTTCAATCATTTGGGGACTTCAACGAACCAAAAAAAGGCAACGATTTTGTCAAGGTTCGGATTCCTCTCTTCTTTTCCCTTTTTTTTTTGGGGGGGGGGGGAGGAATTGGTGCTGAAGGATCCTTTGCCAAATGCCGAAAACCACCCATGGCCATCTCTACAACAAACATGTACGCCAAGAGATAGAGCCGTTAGCAGGCAGACAGTCAGAGGTCAGATTTCTCCCCTGCAAACATGCAACCAATTGGCACCCAAGCATCCTGTCCCGCAAGGAGACTCCTTCAACGGATCTGCCCTTTAATGTGCAGCAGTGTAGTGGAAGCAACTCAAACAAACGATTTGCTCGAATGCTTTGGTGGCCCTTTACACACCATCAAGTGGGTATGGATGGCGCCTTGCCAAGAGAAGACACGAGCAAGTGAGCGATCTATGCAGACCAAGCTTGCGAACCAACCAGCTTGAGGCTCCAGCACCCCATCCTCAGCTGGAAGGTGTCTGGAAGGCTTACAGGTCTTACCCAGAAAAAGCCACCAAAATGGCTTGGAAAACAACTCGAGGGAATGCAAAACACACATCCCAACCACAAAATCCGCTTAGACAGGAGACGCCGACCTGTACATGGGGCATGTAAGTGGTAAAAGACAAGGGTGAAAGCGACAGATTTTGCACCCACAGTTCTTTGCCCCATTGTGTGTGGAAGGCCGCGGGGAATTCCGTTGTTGTTTGCTGTTGTTCGTGACAATCAAACTATGATGCAGCAGTTCCCTATGTTGATGACTTGACCGGAGGGTGGGTGGGACGTGGGGTCGGTAATCACATATGTGTTCGGTTGTCATGATCGAGACGACGCACGTGCCGCACTGACGATATTTGTGCTGTCTTTTCGCTTTTCTTCGCAGCGCCCCCAGTTCGGCTCATGTTGCGTGACTCTGCTTAGGTTGTCTCTGTGCCTCATCCTGCTTTTGCATTTGCCTGGTGGTTGTTTGGATCTATCTTCCTGCCCTTGTCTTCGTGACTGGTTCTGCGTCTTGCACTGTCTATCTTGTCAGCTGTCTTGGACACTGGCCTGGATCCATGTCGCTGTGAGCTTTATTCTGGCTTTTGTGGGCATCTTGGCACGCGCTGGCCGAGGTCACTCGGAATGGGCGAATGGGCCGCGTAGGCTTCGCATCCGACTGTCTGCTGCTGCCTTTGTGCTTTCCATTGCCACGTGCAACGATCGCTGTCCGTCTACTCTAGCTCCGGCGGCGGCCCCCATAGAATCCGCGACTGTGCGGCCGCTGTGGATCTTGGGTCACCTCTAGGCACGCGCGCGGCAGGTCCTGGGACATCTCCCGCTGTCTAGGGACACATTATGGCTTCACATGGGCCTTCCTGCCCTTGGCGTCCCTGTGCGAAGTGCTGCAAGGTCTGTCACTGGCACCAATGCTCTGCTGTGTGTTCTTCTTCTTCTGCTTCTTCTGCTTCTTATTCTTCTGCTTCTTCTTATTATTATCATTATTATCATTATTGTTTGTCTTCTTATTTTCCTCCTCCTCCTTCTTCTTCACGTCTTCTTCGTCTTCTTCTTCTTCTTCTTCTGCTTCTTCTTCTTCTTCCTCTTTTTGCTCCTTCTTCTTTTCTTCTTCCTCTTTTTGCTCTTCTTCTTCTTTTCTTCTTCCTCTTCTTATTCTTCTTTTTCTTCTTCTTCTTCTTCTTCCTTCTTCTTCTTCCTTCTTCTTCTTCCTTCTTCTTCTTCCTTCTTCTTCTTCGGATCTTGAGCTGGCGCGTAAATCGGCTCGCAAATTGCACTTGTGACAAAGCAACGCGGAGTCATCGCTGCAAAACGCGTTGTAAACAGGGGGCCAAGGAACTCTTACCCTGCCTCAAAAAAGCTCCGAATAGCAAACGCCGAATAACGCACCGTGAACCTAGTTGTTGCCCTTGATTGCAGCTCCTGTTGGCATGGAAAGCCATACATCTGGGCCCTTCTGGGCAAAGCTCCCGAGTACCAAGTCAGAAACCAAAACCTGGCCTTGTGACAACTGGTTTGGACCAAGTTTGGCATTCCATCAAAATCCGTGCATGTGTACACAAGCCTGGCAGGAAAGGAAGGTCTAACACAATTTTGCTCAGGCACAAGGGGTTCAAAGGCCACTTCTATTCTCAGTCTGGAATGTCCCCCGCAAAGCTTCCCAGAATCGGTTTTGCTTTGGGCACACATGCTCACCCAGAATAGACGAGCAATTCCTTGGTTCTACACCGAGTCCAAAAAACGTGAGCACACATCTCGTCATGGGTGACGTTCAAAGCAAATAGAACCTTGTCAATTCAGGCTATTTCGGGTCATTGCCCTCAAGAAAATGCTTATTTGGACATACAAATAGGCATTCCACAGAAAGGCACTCTCAAGAGATGAAGAACCTGGCAACAGAAAGGAGCCCTGAAAAGAGGGTTTGGTGCCCAGGTACTTGGGTTGCACCGCTTTCGGAAGAAAAGCGAAAAGCCCAGGTTTCAGGTTTCATTGGTGTCCCATAGAATGAGAAAAGGCTAAGCGGTGTGTGTGTGCGCGCCCCCAATTCATCACCTGGGCTTTATTTCAACCCGCGCAAACTGTTGCAAAAAAAACAACCGAATACAACAGATCGCAGAAGAAGCCTGCGACATCGCAAACCTAGTGACATCGTTCCAGTAGAATTTCCCATCCCATTGACCCCTGTCAAGCTTCGTCTCAAGGCATCCACGACCAGACATGCCATCGGGGAGCGGAAGGGCGCGATGGGCTCAGCAGGCTTATGTCTCAGAAGAGAAAAAAGGATGTTCGTATGATTTTGTATGTTGGTGGCTGCTTGGGGTTGTTTTGGTGATGCTTCAGCAATATGCTCTAGTGGATGTCGTGTACATCGGTGACCTTGTGTTGGAAAGGGAAGACATGTGATTGCTCGCACCCATTTCAAGGGACGGGAAAAAGAGGAAGTGTGTCTTGTCATGTGCTCCTTTGATGCCGAATGGTGCCTGACATGGCAAGGTTTGGGTTCCTTCCCCTTTGCTTTTGCTGCTTTGATTGCGGCTCGTCCCCGACATCGCGCCTGAATAAGCGTTCACAGTTGTGACATGTTTAATAACGAACCTCAACAACTGAAATGAGTCACAACTGCGGGTCTACCCAAAATCGAAACGGCTTCCTCCCGCATTGGGCAAGTGTCCCCTACCCAAGTACCCGGATTTGTCATGTGGGCTCCTAGGAAACCATAAAAACCCACTTTGATTTGGAAGACAGGGTGATGTTTAACCCAACTAAACAAGCAATCATAGGGAACCGTGCAAGTTGACAAAATAGCAAGAGACTTGCCGGGATCCCGACCCAAAAAAGAAGGTGGATGCTGAAAACGAATAAGTAGAAAAACTAGGGTTGCATGGTTGGATGTGGTTGGTTCACTCGCAATAACTCGAAAATCAGGCGTAGGCCCCCATGTCATCACAGCTGCTATAATCCTCATGATCATCCACTTTGCTTCTGCAAGGCTGGCAAAAGCTCTGCCCAAAGAGGTTACCGAAATGGAGCTTCTTCTTCTCATCACTAGGTTCAGGAGAGTGAACAGAGTCGCCGTTCCAGCTTTGGCCGACAGGACCTTCCGTCCCTACCAAAAATCATCCATGTTGACTCCTTCCCAAAAGCAGCGTGGGGTGGGGGTGGGGGGTCTCAAGACAAGGTGCATGAGTCTTCAAAGACCGTGTTGCCCTTTCAAACCACCCCAAAAACAAGTACAAGCTCCCAAAAAGACACAGCACCACAACAAAGGAACCTCCCCTCCGATGCCCAGCTGCCAGGGGGAAAAAAGGGGCATCCTTTTTTGGTTGATCGAGCCCTTCCCACAAAAGGTTGGCAAAAAGGAAGCAACCGGTTCGCCCGCCGTCCACAACGGGGGGGGGGGGGGCGGCGCCTGGGCGCGAAGGACACCGTGTTGTCGCAGGCGGGGCACCGCATGGAGAGCAGCGCGAAGGCGTTGCCCGCGTACTGCGAGCGCGCTTCGACGAACGCGTTTCGGCGATTCGGCGCCAGTGGCCCGAGCCAGAGGGGCCACAGCCGGAAAGTGAGACCTGTTGACAGTTGGTTCATGACCAAAAACAGGTGGGAGGGGGGGAAGAAAAACAAAAAGTGTGAAAATATATTGGGAAGCTACTTCGCACGCAGGTCATGACCAGGGTTCTGGGATCTCAAACGCAGACTAACACACTGTTGCTCGGCGGCGGTAGGCCGTTGTAACGTAACTCCTCGCCGCGCACGACGCGACACAACGCCACGCGAGGGCGCCTTGTCGTAAACCTCCTGGTCTACAAAGCTGGCCCAAATCTTCGTGGGCACGCGGCCCCGGCACAGCGGGCACCGCATCTCAGGGGCGGAGGGTCTGAATCGTCGCTGGGAAACCCAGTTACAACAAAGCAACAAACGAACCAAAAAGACAGCAGGAATACATTCATTGGGGACCAGGTGGGAAAAACATCCGGTTTGCCCTTGACTGATGATTTAAATACATGCAACACAACAGGGGGACCCGAATAGTTGTTGGGTTTCTTTTTTCTCGTAAATGAAAAAATAAAGTTCATTGCTACAAGGGTGGTCCCACCCCTGAAGTCCGCGACCCCAAACTGACCCTGCAGGAGTTGAAGCTGACTGAACCTCATGCAGGTGTACTTTTGGGCTGCTCTTTGGGAGAGTGCTGAATACCTGGGCGGGAATACTTGGGCGGGTGGTTTTCAAGGGTTCAGATGATCCCTGACAGGGGGAAGCTTGATTCACTCACAACTCCTAAGAAAAGCCGAAGGGTTCGAACGAGAACCTGAGGGATGTAACCGTCTCAATCGTCGTCCTCCCAGCTCACAAGAGATCAATTTTCCTCTAGCTGGTGGCTATTTGTCAACATGGTGTCCATTTGCTTCCCTTTCACAAGCCCGACATGTCACCTTGCCCTTGATTCGTGGTTGGGGGCGATTTGCCAGTTGCCATAGAACTCAGGACCGAACCACCTACAAACATGGGACTGGGAACATGGAACCGGTCTAGCGGATTGTCCGAATTTGATCTACCCTTTCGGTCTCAAGGGTTGACCATGTTTCAACAACTGGAAACACAACCTCCTTTGGGTCCCTAAGGGGGCCGAATCGGGTCAGGTTCTTTGAACCAATCCTCCACCAACCCGTTGCGCTTTGCAGCGGATTCACCCACAACCGGGCCCCGCGCAATGGGCATGGCGTACAGAGCATCTTCCACGGAGGTTTGGAAGTAGGTCCTGGAGGCTTGGCCCCTCACCGCTTCTCAACATGTGTGCCATTTGGCCACGGGTCCAAATCCCGTACCCCCAGTCAGTGAACATCCCAATCCCCACTAAAATGGACTAAAATGGGTGGTGCGCCGGGCACCATTTTGCACCCTGTTGCCTTTTGAAGCAAGGGTCTCACGGGGCTCGCAAAATACAAAGAGGCGACAAAAACTTGCCAACCCCCCCCCCCCCAATGTCAATGACCAACAGCCGCCCCAATCAGCAGCTCGCACACTCACCTTTTCCAAGGCGAAGCCCGCCAGTCTTCACCGGCGTGTCATCACACGTAGACGCGTCCATGAAATGAACTAATGGCAAACGCAATTGCTTGAAAGGAAATGCAACGTATGTTCACATGCACTGCACAGCACTCATGAGGCTCTGAGACTTGGAGGCTAAAGCACATCTATTGACATGCCCCCAAAGTTCTAGCCGAAAAGGCTCAAGAGTCTCGCCGCATGATGTCTGCCCAGGTCAGTTCGTGAGGCCCAGGTTCATCATCTCCAAGCTTCCGCTGTGCAGCTTTCAGCTTCTTGGCACTCGTGAAGTCTTCGTCGTAGCCTGTGGCCAAGAATCGACGAATGCGATCCTGCGCACCAGTCTTCGTCAGGCCATCTGCTAACTGAGTGTCACTGTTGCACCAGTTTCTTGCTTGTGCAAGTTCTCGCAAATGCCTTGCAACTCAAGCGCGGTGTCCTTATCCTTCAGGTTGAAGCCACCAGCCTGAATGCTGTCATTGTTCACCGCGTCAAACAAGGCTTTCGCATCAATCACAACCGCGGCTTGCACCTTAGTGGTGGCCACTTCAGGTGCTCGAAGATCGAGAGGCCAACCAAGCATCTCAGCCCACTGAGCACGGGTGATCATGAGCTCTTGCTCACCTGATTGGATTGACTGGTCCACGAAGACCACGCAACATGTCTGCATGCACCATGCACAGCATGTAGCCACCTGTTGAACCATTGTCGGGACGGTTGCCAAGTGCTGCATCTGTCCACAAAACAAGCGCAAGGTCGTCATCCCTTTTCGCATGCAATTGGTGAGTTGCCACCGAAAGATGGCGCTGGGCATGCACCTCTCTGCAGAGTTTGTTGCCCTGCGGCAACGCTGACTGCAGATGGGGCTCAGACGAGCTGCGTGACGCGGTCCGGTCTGAGTCACACGCCACTGAACTGCACCTAGCACTGCACGAGCCTGCTGGCGTTCCGCTTAAGTGATCTCTTTGCTGTTCTCATTGATGTCGATCTGCTTGAGGCCCAGGCAGAACTCTTCATGATCCATTCTCCAACCTCCATCCAGTTGCGGCACAAGGCGAACACCACAATGCGAAAATGGTGGCGTCTTTCAAGGGCTCCATCGAAACTTGCCCTCGAACTCATCCATCGCTTGTGACCAATGCACGGAGTTGGGGTCGCCGCAAAGCAGAAAGTCATCAACATGGCTGCACACGATTCCTTGCACACTGCCAGCTGCATATGCGGGGTTCTGTCACCAAACGCGTGAAGCCACATTCCAGCAGGGCGGCATGTACTGCAGAGTACCATTCACGTGGCGCAATTGTTAAACCGTATGCCGCTTTCAGCAACTGAACACATTGATGATGCTTGAGCACAAGTGCTTCTTGAAGTTCCGGCACAGGTCGTCCATAGCTCTGCCGTGATTCTTGCGAAGAGTTTCTCTGAAGGAAAGCTGCCTTTGCAGCAGCCTTCAGCATGTTCCAGTGTCTGTGCGAGGAGAAGGCCAACATCAACTGTCTGCTTCTGCGGCTCATCGTGGGTGCAGTCCCAGATCTGGATCCGAAAAACCCAAGACCTGGCCATAGCTTCACTTGTTCTCCAGAAGCTCCAGCCTCTTCCTGAGCACCCATCGCATTTTCATGATGCGAGCCGGATCAACCTTCCCAAGCGCTGCACAGCAAACCTTCGACTTGATCCACTCGTTCACCTCCAAGGACTTCGCCTCTCGCGTAGCTGACCGTTGGGTCTCGTTCAATTTGGCCCATGACACATCCACACCTTTGGCAACGTTCTTGGCAACGAACTTGCTCGGGTCCTTGACAATCTGACGCCCATCCTCCTCCGACGCAGGGGCTGCCAAAACAACAGAGAAGACGCGGTCGTTCACGAAGTTCTCGGCGCTCTCAACTTCCTGCACCCACAAGCTGTCCTGCAACCCTTTCTGGACCGACTGAGGTCGTTCAAGCATCTCATTGCGCAGTCTCGCCTTCTTGAAGGGCATATGCGACAAGGGTCCTTGTTGTCTGACGCCAGGGAGCATGTAGCTGGGATCGTCAATCAACCGATCCAGTCAACTTCTTCGGTTTCAGCTGATGCTGCTGGTGCTCGGGATGAAGACGAACTCCCAAGTCCTGCAGGTAGAGCATCTCCTGCGTTCACGATTGGTGGTCCTCAAGATGGTAGTTCCACCGTAGGTGCTGATGATTCTCGCTGTCGTTGTCGCTGTCGAGGAGTTCATTGCTTGCTTGTCGACGGGGTTGTCGAGGTCGAGGTGATTGAACTCGAAATCGAGCTCTGAACGTTGGTTCCTCCACCACATCCTCAAATGAACCTCTGTCAATGAGCCTGGTTGCTTCATTCAAGGTCCAGTTCATGGTGGGAAAGTCTGTGGTCTCCGCAATGATGTGCTTTCAGAGAAAGGTGCTGATGCGCTTCAATCGTCCTTGGGCGATCACCCACGCAATGCTGTGAGCTTGACGAACTACCTCCTTCATCACTGACCTTGGTTTCCATGGCAAGGATACGGCCAGGGCCATACCGAGCAATCCGGATCAACGAGCTTGATGTCGCCGATAGAACACCAAATCACCAGGCAGAAACTTCACCTTAGGTCTCGTCTTGGTGTTCCGGGCCACAGAGAGCTTCTCATCAATGGTCATCTTGCGGTAGCGAGCTTCTGCTTCAAGTCGTCGCTGCAGTTGTGTTATGGTAGGTCAAGTCCCTCATGAAGCCGCTTGGAGTCGGTGAAGTCTCGCCCAAAGACCCACTGATTAGGTGAGCCTCCAACACGTGCTCCGTGATTGTGGGCTTGCACCATCTCCAGCGCTGCCTCCAACACCGGCCCATCCGTACATCTCAAATGAGCCTCCACCTTCTTCCGCAAGCTGCCGATGCTGCGTTCTACCCGACCAATCAGCTCATGGTGCTCGGCCGGAATCAGCTCCAACTCAACACCACACCAATCTCGCAGTTCTGCACCCCGAAAGGCTCCATCACAATCTTTGACGGGTAGCCGAAGTACTGCACCCAGCACTCCATGAGGGCGCTGACTGCCTCCGCGGAAGATGTGCTCCGACCTTGGGCACCACGAAGTTCAGCTTCTTGTCCACAAAGAGGATGAAGTGGTACCGCTGGTCACCCACCTGCAAGTCAAAGCATCCATCTGCAAGGTCTCCCAGAGCTTGTCCGAATTCTCCAGGCTTCATCACAATCCATGCGCGATGCGGATGAGAGCTTGAGGCGCACCACGATTTTTCAACATCTTCACCAATGCTGCTGAGCTAGGATGACCAAGTCGTCGGTGCAACTTGCAGGTTCTGCTGACGCTTCCAAGATTTCCACTTGTCCTGAGTCCACCACCAATAGGAAGCACTCTCTTCATGCTCCTTCTCCTGCTGTCTCCGGATCTCAGCCATGTTCAGAACCAGCACGAGATCCACCAGGTGGAGCTAGGTCCCGCCTTAACAGCCGCAGTTTCTCGGGCGCAAAGCAGGGCACGCTGCACGCGGCGGTAACTCTCACGAACCTGGTTGGCCCATTCACTCATGCTCATGCCAAGCGGTCGCTTCATGCGCATCAGCAGCGCTCCTCCAACTTGCTTCCGGCATCGGGGACTGCTGTCCGGCCAAGCTGGTCCTGCAAGTGCTTGAGCAAGTACTTGGCGCCTTGTTTGCGGCGAAGGCGCTCGTGGTCCAAACCTGACACAGCAGCCCAGGCGCGTCCAGTCAATCTGCTTGCTCATTCCGGCCCCAAGTCGCGCTTCTTGTTGTCTTGCGTCTTTTCGTATTGAAGGCGGACTTTCCAGCAGTAGTCTTGCCAGCTCTCCGGAGATCCGTCCCATGTGACGAAGAAGTCTTTCCCGGAGATGATGCTCATGGCGACCTCCTCCGGCTTTCCTCTCTCTCTCGCCCCAGGTGCCCCGCTGGGTGTTGCAAAGGCTCTGGTCCGTGATCGGCTCCGCTGCCAATCTCGATGTCAATGACCAACAGCCGCCCCAATCAGCAGCTCGCACACTCACCTTTTCCAAGGCGAAGCCCGCCAGTCTTCACCGGCGTGTCATCACACGTAGACGCGTCCATGAAATGAACTAATGGCAAAAGCAATTGCTTGAAAGGAAATGCAACGTATGTTCACATGCACTGCACAAGACTCATGAGGCTCTGAGACTTGGAGGCTAAAGCACATCTATTGACACCCCCCGACCCTCAAAGACGTTGACAGCCGCCAACATGGGCACCGGACTGGAAGTTCAAAATCGCTCAACACAGATTGGGGTTGGGAAAGGAACGGGTGGGGAAAAATGCATCACATTCGTGGTTAGGGAAAAAACGGACATATTACTGGAGAAAAAGATGGAACGGGCGGGGCAAAAAGTATCACTCACACCACCAAAAAGGGCCTGGAGAAGAAAGCATAGCATTCCAAACACAGCTGGAGAAAAATGTATCGCTCCAACAATCAACGTGGATAGGAGGTTGGCTCGAAAAACACATCACTCTGAAACCAGAATGATTCGGAGTTGGCAAATTGCGTCACTCCGCAAACGAGGTGGGGAAAAAAGCGTGTCACGTATCACTCCAAATAGTTCATTCCAAAAACAGATTGGGGGAGAAACTGAAAAACTAGGGGAAAACAATATCATCGTTCCAGGAATCTCAAAAGCGGCCAAGTCTATCAAAATCGTGTCCATGTGATTTCAACCCCAACAACCACCTTACCTTTCGTTTCTGGTCTGGATTGGTGGCTTGGAGACTAGGAGGTGGCTTCCTGCAAGAACCAGGCGTTCAAATCCCCCAACCAATCCAAGCCACCGAGAAAGGGGTACCATCCTAGTCGCTAGCTTTCCATGAAGAACAAACAGCTTGCATTGGCCAGTCGGTGCGCAAAGCAAGCTGGACAAAGGGGTAGCTGAAAACAATTGTACCATCCCTCAGCCCCGAAATTCGAGATTTGGTTTGCCAGTTTGGAGATCGGAACCCGAATGAAGCTTGTTGGTGCTCAGGGAACAAGAGATGGAATGACCCCATCGAACTGGTGGTTTCCTTTATTCAGGAATCCCAAACGGTTCCGAACATTTCACAGTCCCTACCTCCAGCAGCAGTAACAGGGATCCTTACACTATACACCTGAACATTGCCTTGTAAATGGTGTTTTCCCTTTATGTTGGTGTTGAAAAAGCCACATGTTTCAAATAGTTACAAAATGGAGATCTTTTAAGGAGCCCGAAGGAAACCGTAAACATAAAATAAAACCCAAAAAACAGAAGAAGAAAGAAAACGAAATATCATATTCTGAGCAAATGGAAGGACACCTGAGCAAGGAAGGGGCGCTTCACCCCCTCTTCGCCTCAGCCCGCCTCAGGCAACCGGCGCAGCAGCGCCGCGCGTCGACGCAGCAGCGGCAGAAGTGCGGCAGCGGCAGCGCCTGCGTCGGCTGCCGAAATGAGCAGGGCCCGTTCCGCCGCACGAAAACCAGCCACCACCTCAAATGGACGGCAGGGCTGGGGCAAGGGAAGGGTACCTTTGCAAAAGGTGTGCCTTTGAAGAGGCGGGGGGTGTTGACGACCCAACTACCGTCAAAGAGAACCACCTAAAATGGAAAGGGGCTGTTGGGTGCTCCAATAAGATATGAAATAGGGTATTCTTCTTGTCGGGATCCTGAGCAGCATCAAAAACTCAACACCCATAAGAATCAAAGGACAAAAATTGGCCGCTCCTGTTTGTGTGTGTGTGTGGCTGTCATCGCCCCTTCTAGCCATCCCTTACCTGGGTTTTGATTGTTGTGCCTGCTTCCAGATGAGCCCTGGAAATCTGTGGCTGTTACCCCTTCTCATCCTCCCTAAACCAACATTAGCAACCAATATTGTCAGTGACTCATAGTTGTCGAGTCATGTTCGTGTCACGGCGCGCTTGATGAGAACTTGTCCAAATTCCCTGCTTGCTTGGTCACCATCCCCAACCCCAAGTAATCGGACAAACATTGCTAGACCCTCCACGGACATGGGTAAAGTAGCTCTATGCTAGTGCAACCTCCCGGCTAAGCAGACTTTACAAGGAGGAAAGTTCGAGACTTACTAGGTGGACAAAACAAGGTTCCCTATATGAGCCGCAGGCAAGATACAATGTTACCCCCAAGGAAGATTGAAGATTTAGAGTGGTCGCGTTTGTGGGTCATCCAGAGAGTCGCCCATGGCTATTGCAGAGTGCGACTCAACCAACACCACTGATACCACTCTAGATGTTATTTGTAAATTGAAGTTGATAACTTCGTTCCTGCTGATAGTAGTCAGAGTTGCTCCCTACTCAAAGACTTGGATGTTCAAGCCAACTATAAAGGATCCCACCCCAGTTACCGGAGTTACAGTGCTGCCATCCGCCTTTTGGGTGTGAGAGCTCCCTACATCTTGAAAAGGCCTGATGAACCGAACCTTCATAGGATGCAACAAGCTCCGGGCGTGTCGCGTCTCCACTAGTTTGATACACCTGCAAAACCTCTCTGCGTCTTTTCCGGAAGATATTGAACCTGGCCTGCTCAGTTCCATGCTGATCAAGTCATTTTCCGTCAATAGCCCTCTTCCGGTGGACATAAACTCCTGGCTGACAAAATAGGGAATCCCATTCAATAGTTCACGACACTCCCAGATCAAATCCACCGATTCGGCTGATAAACCCGCAGTCGACATTGGCAATGTGATGGGGATCCGCGACTCCCAGAGGCCACAAACAACTAGTTGGATATTAAATCCGCGTTAGGTGGGTGATCTCACCGTGTGTGTGTGTGTGTGTGTGACTTGGGTAGCTGGGGTAAGGCCCTGACAACCATTGGCAAAAGCTTCATTGGTGAGCAAAGAACATCCAAATACGCGCTACGACCTTCCAATGGCCTCGGTTTGCAGGGGCTGTAACTCAATATCAGAGTACTGTGCCACGGCGAGGGAGCAAGTACTTGATCCCCTTAAGACTTACAGAAGGAACCTTGTTCAAGCATCCGATAGAAAAGGAAGACAGTCTTTGCCCTTTTGTCAGCAAGTGTTTTTCTGGTTCCGTGTTGGCTGTTGAGCTTGGTGTGGATTGCCCAAACCCAAGATGCCAAGGGTAGGATGCCAAAGCGTCCTTTTTCGAACGGAGGTCAGCACCACTGTTTGCCCTGCCCAACGCCGGGAGAAATCGAACACGGAGAATCCAGTGGGCGCAAAGGCCGAAACCAGGAACCCTTGGGTTCCATGCGAAGAACTCGGCATTAACAGAAAGCCGAAGCGCTGGGGTCAAGAGTGGTGGACCCCGGAAGCTTGGTTGGCATTTAAAGGGAGACCAAAGAAAAGCATCCCAGTTTGACAAACCCCAAGTCTATGTTCAGGCAATCATTGGCCTGCCTTGGGTTGTGGAAATCTTTTGGTTGCCTGCTTAATGACTGGCTTTGGCTGTCCAAAGCACTCTCGTTTGGGCCACACAGATGGTTCTGATACATGCCAAATGAGCCACAGAATCGAGTTACGGCGTGAGGAAATTAGGGTTTGCCCTGGTGCTTGTGCTTGAAAATTAGCACCTCCCCGAGCTTTAAAAGCCCGAGAGTGAAGCCAAAAGCAAAACAGTCGTCCTACCTCTTTGGAGAGAGCATATTGCACAGGATCCCATAAAAACCACCTCCTCTCTTGGACCAAATACGTTTGGTCACCAGCTTTGGGGGCCAGCTAGTCTTAAACTGGGTTGGATGACCCCGCCAACCAAAAAGCACTTGTTGCCGGTTCAGCTGAAAATCATGGAAAACAAGACAACAAAAACACCATAAAACACCAGTAGAGCTCGTGGATCTGGTCACTTTCATGCGAACCCCTTACCTCACATGATCGGCCCGATCGGCGCGAAAGGGCGCCTCAAAGCAGATCTGACACTCCCCCAGCTCCTGACGTGACGCGGAGGTTTCTGTTTGGAAGGGGTTGATCAATATTCCTGGCCCCAAGATGACCATGGCTGGCTTTTCGCATTTAGTGGTGCAAGTCATCATGTTTGGTGGTTGCCCTCATAAGACTCCGGGATTTAACCCCCGACCTGCTTGCCACCGGGATTCAACAGTAAGGTGACTTCTAGTTTTGACTCATACACACTTGGGCGGGCACCTGCTTGCCTCCTTGTCTTATCATTCTCAAAGTCGGCGTTCAAGCAATAGAAGTGGTAGTAGTAGTAGTAGTAGTAGTAGTAGTAGTAGTAGTAGTAGTAGTAGTAGTAGTAGTAGTAGTAGTAGTAGTAGTAGTAGTAGTACAAGAAGAAGTAGTAGCAGAAGTAGCAGAAGTAGCACTAGTAGCACTAGTAGCTCTAGTAGCACTAGTAGCAGCAGTAGCAGTAATAGACGTGCTAGGTTGCAACAAAAAGGGACTCCGAATTCCTTCCACATGAGCTCGGAAAGCTTCCCGCCTCCACCAGCGCTGAGCTCTTGGAGCTCTTGCCGAACTCACAAAGGGGCGAAGGCTCCTCACGCGAAGGAGACTCAACCCTAAAGCCAAACCATTGTGAGGAAGAAAAATAATACTCACTGCAAAATCACCATATGATGATGATAGAATTGAAGGGGAAAATCATGAAATCAACCCGTACAGTGCGAATAAAGTATGCTTCCAGCCCAGGCTATGGGAAGCCACAGGGAACGTCTACCAAGATAGCTTGCAGAACTTGAGAGCTGGAAAAAAACATGGTACGCACCATCAACAAATCTAAGGAGCAGCTGGAAGGCGTCTACATAGGGGATGCACAAAATGCCTGGTTTCCTTTTGATTTCCGATACCCAAAAAAAACGAGCCTCCATTAAAAAAAAAAATGAACATGAAACTCCAATGTTCGAACCTGCCGAAGAAGGAAAAGTGACTTTTGTTAAACAAAACTTGGGTTGTGAAGAAGCCCGGTTTTTGTCAAGCGCTATCTAAAAACAGTCTAAACATTGGGACAACCCATTCAGTGTCATGCACCAACAGTTTGAATGGGATTCCTGGCTTCTTTCAGAAGCCTATTTTTGGAGGACCCTCCCTTTGGGTGCCATGTTCATTTGCAGGGGAGTCTCATGAAAGGGACCTCCAAGTTCGATTTGTATGCAGGGTCTGGCTTGCAGAATTATAAACCGCTTGCCAAAAACTGGTTTCCCTCCGCTTGAGTTTTTTTTCCCTCAACCTTACAACCGTTGAGTTGCAGGCCTGTCTCTTATTTGCCAGTTGAATTTGCCTAAGCTTGTCGAAACATGTAAAAGCATAGGGCGTCCTTGGGAGGGTAGGGTCCCTGAAAAACTGATGCAGGTCACAGTCATCAACCTGCCGCTCCAGTCCACATCCCTTCCCCGCCGAGTGTCTTGATCGCGAGTATGAAAGGTTGACAATGGCGCGGAGGACGTTCTCCTTGCCAAGTGCAAACTGAGTCCAAGAGAATCAAACAAAAAGTTCCCAATGCTCGAATCGTCGAACCCCCAGCAACACAAAAACAAGTTCTGCTTGGGTCATGCTGATCTTGGGCTAAGACACAAATTCATTAGACAAAACACAACACAAATCATGGCCGTGAAATTCAAGGGGGAACACCCTCCATGCGTGGATTGACACAAGCCCTGATGCACGTGATGTCCACCAAAGGGTCCCCAAATAAAAAATTGACACACTCATGTCACTGCCAAGCTGCGCAAGGTTCGAAGGCTGCATGATTGGCTAAGGGGTGGAAGAATCGGTGACTGGCCGGCGTTGCCGCAAGTAGGATATTGGGGCCTGGCTAATGTGGAAAAACACTGACAAAATCGGGCTTGCTAAGTGTCTGACATGCAGGCTCTGAATGAGCTGAAACCTCGCAACAAAATGAAAGACTTGCATATTCTGCACGGAAGACTTGGGCCAAAGAGGCCAACGAATCACACGTTTGCCTCGATTCATGCTGAACTCTGCACTCACAGATTGACTGCACAAACCGCTTGGCGCTCACTGTTCGATGATGCTGAACCCGGACTAATCAACCTGGTTGACAACGAAACGGGGTGAAAGACTCCCTTGGTAGCTTTGTGAGGAAACTAATATTCACGGTTTCATGTTTGACAATGGTCTCAAAACTTGGTTGCGGCACAAACGCACGTTCAATGCAAGCTTGAACGACCACCGCCACAAATACAACATGTGCATATAGATATGCACATATATATATATATACACTACATACACACTCAAGTGTGTCAAGGTTCAAGTGTTTCCGTACACTTCGATCAAGGCCTTGGGCGGAAAAGCTGCCACGCCGCGCCGACGCACACAAGCTGTATCTGTAGACAAACAGATCAAACAGTTCTCCCAAACACACCCACCCTCGCACGCAGACGCCATCAAAAAGGAAAGGCCAATGGCGGGCAGCTTCAGAGGTCCCAGTAACGATTCGCACGAAGCGCAAAAATGATCCTGATGGATCACGACCGTAAACTGATGAATCACGACCGAAACTGATGGATCACGACCGTAAACTGATGGAACACGACCGAAACTGACGGATCACGACCGGAAACTGACGGAACACGACCGGAAACTGACGGAACACGACCGAAACTGACGGAACACCATCGGACACTGACGGAACACGACCGAAACTGACGGAAACTGCCGGGACGCTACCGGAACAAGACCGTCAAACGCGAAAAATCGAAAGCCTGCGCTGCGACTTGCTAAGATCTGCAGCGCGACACCGTTTCGAGACGGTCCTGCAGAAAACGCGCGGAAGTTCGCGACCTGGCAACAACCCGAACATAAACTGACGACCAAGTGGGGCTTGAGACCCCCGTAACCACTCTCTGCGCGGCCCGCGCAGGCCCTTCCCGACCTTCATCTTAGTGGCAGTGGAGTGAACAGCACTGTGCAAGTGTGGGAATCACCCAAACCTCACACCACGGATGTGGTGGCGGCTGTGTGTTCGCGTTTGCTGCAAAACTGTGATAGCGCAACTGATGTGCTGGGTGCCGCCTACGATCTAAAGTCCGCACACCGTCAGGTAGGACTTCTGCCTTGTGCTAGGAAGTTTGCTTACATTGCCGTCTATAACCCTGATCTTAAAAAGCCTGAGGTTTACCGACTAGTTGCGGTGCCATTCGGTGCGTTTCGTGCGGCACACGCGTTCTTGCGTCTCACATTCCATTTGGTGGTTGGGGGCGCGTGCTCTGAGTTTGGTGTGGACGAACTTCTTCGACGACTTCATCACCTTTTGCAGATCGCCTGAAGCTGTGAGCACTAGTCAGTGTGTGGAAAGCCTGTTTTGCTTGTTGGGTTGGGGTTATGCCGACTCTGGCGAAAAAGCTGGACGATTCGACACCTGCTTCCAGGCTCTGGGAATTCAAGTTGACTTGAGCGGTTTCAGGAAGGGCGTGATCCTTTTCGATAATACAGCCAAACGCAAGATTGAGCTTTGTGGAGAAATAGATTCCATCTTAGCAGATGCCACCCTCAAGCAACCACATGCTTTGAAGTTGCGTGGACGTATGCAATTCGCCGATGGTCAGCTTTTTGGGCGGGCCAGCAGGTTGTGCCTCAGGGAAGTGAGTGCGCACGCCTTCTCTGGCAGCGGTGAACTTGTAGGCCCTCGGTTGTCATTGGCGCTTCGGAGATTCAGAGATCAGTTGTCCCGTGGACAGCCCAGGCAGTTGTCGCGTACCTTTGGGGAGCCGTGGTACATTTTCACAGATGCATGCTTCGAGAAGGAACGCCCGGAGTGGATGTGCGGCTTGGGGGGGATACTGTATAACCCCTCAGGTGAAGCTATTGAGTTTTTCTCCGCCTGTCTTTCCCACGAAGAGGTTTGTGCACTTGGCGGTGATGTGAAGAAAACCATCATTTTCGAAGCTGAGCTTTTGGCACTCATTGTCGCCATTCATTTGTGGTCCAGTACCTTGGAAGGCCAGCTAAGTGTGTTTTATGTCGACAACAACTCGGCGCGAGATGTGGCAGTGTCGGGTAACGCCCGGTCCGAAACTGGTTCGGCATTGGTTTCCATCCTTCTGAAAATTGAGGATAGTATTTCTCTTTTTCCTTGGTACGCAAGAGTGGCCTCCCCGTCAAACCCAGCTGACAGACCTTCCAGAGGTTCGACCGAGCATCTGAAAGTGCTTGGGTTGAAAGAGGCATGCTGTAAAAGTGTATTTGAGAAAATCATTCAACAAATCGGATAAGATGGGGATTGCATGTAAATAAATGTGAACACTTGCCACGCTGAACGTGTGCCAGCCTACACAGCAGTAGTGTAAAACCTTGGCAGTGTGCACTATGACGTGTGCGACCTATCAGTGTGGATCTGCATGGATCGCTTCGCGCAAAGCGACTTTCACCTACCCCCGTTTGCATTAGAAAAAGGAGAGTGTGCGCTTCTTAGTGCCGGCGGTTAGCAAGTCTGGTGAATGCCGTGTCGTGTGTGTTGGGGGGTCACCAAGAAGGCTTAGCGCTACATAGCATGCTTCGAAACCCTGGCCCAGCTGGCGCTGATGCGCGGCTTATGCATGTTCTCCGGCACGGACAACACCGCATCAGAAGCCGGGGTGAACAAACTGTTCACCACAGCGTGGCCCTTGTGGGCCGATCAGCTCAGCCGCGGCAACACGTCCGCATTTACAGCAAGCCCCAAGCTTGCTTTCGTTTTTGCCCGCATGATTTTCTGCCACCAATGCAAGCTTCACTGCACCCGCCAGACGCCCCATGGCGGCCGGAGCATAGAGGTGCTTTGCAAACGCTCTGAGAGCTTGGAACCCTAAAGTGGGGGCAAATGAGAAGGCTCCGCAGAGGGGTGCAGACACGGGGACACGCAATGTCTCTCCCCCTGCACCTCTAAGTCTTCGGACGCGTGGCCGTTTTCTGCTTCAAGCCACCCAAGGTAAGGGTTACTCCTCACTTTTTTGTGCCCACTTACCCACCCTGTCAATACCCAGGCAAACTTGCCTGGGCCCAGCCGCAGCTGGGCCCGCAGGGGGGCTGGGGATCAAACAGACTTGTTAGAGGGATTAGATTGACTTGTTGACTTGCAGAAGCATCAAAAAGACTGTGAAGCATCAGACTCGCTTGTAAGGGGGGTCAGATTAACTTGTGGGGGATCAGATTGACTTGTGGCCGTATCATCCTCATCATCCATCATCATCATCGGCATCATCGGCATCATCATCATCATCATCATCATCATCGTATCATCATCATCATCATCATCATTAGCATCATCATCATCATCATCATCCATCATCATCATCATCATCGACATCATCATCATCATCAGCATTATCATCAGCATCTTCACGATCATCATCATCATCATCGTCATCAACATCATCACCAGCATGATCATCTCATCACTGCGTTATCATCAGCAGCATTATCATCATGATGGTGATGACGATGATGATGATGGTGATGGCGACGATCATGATGATGGTGATGATGACGACGACGACGATGATGATGATGATGATGATAATGATGCTGACGCCGAT